GTTGTATCTGGAGTGTGTAACAAAAGTAATTTCTCTGGGATTATTAAAAGATTTCTGATTCTGATAATCTATACGTGTGTAAATTCAAGCTTTGTATTTATTTACAGTGTAGTTCCTGGTCTGTACCACTAGATGGCTACATTGTTACACTCCATACCTGCACAATGTAGGGCAGGTTTTCCAAAAATTATCCAGCAAAATGATGGTTTATATAACAATCAATGCATTTAGCAACTAAAGAGGATAGATTGCAAATTCAATTTGATTGCACACAATGGCTAAGATTCCATATTGAGACACTAATGAAGTAGCAGCCATAGACAAATGACTTAGTTCGCAGGTGACTCAAGAAGACAGTATTGTTTTTTTTTTCCTTTTATCAAAGTCTCTGGGGGTATGAAGTCGTTACAACCAAAGTCTCAACAGGTTTAGAAGCAGAGCTAAGGTTGCTGGAGTGGGAAGTGAAAATAGAAAGGCAATAGGAAAATGAAGATATGGAATATGAAAAGGTCTGAAGAAAAGAAGCTTGATGTGATACTTGAGGCTCAAATCAATGGTAGCTTATAATCTAATGTTTATGAGAATAAAAAGTAGAAATATTAGAGAGTCAGATCAATATTTATGCATTTATTATAATGTAGAAATCTGGTGGACAAAAAGAGACAGAAAAGCAGACAGAAAGAAAGAACCTCAGAATGCAAAGTTGAGAAGAAGCCTGACGCAGATGGACATGGATGTGCACTGTATTCAGAACAGCTGAGCTTGACCACATTCTGATCAGGACCATGTAAGTATTTATGTCTGATTCACTTACACACACCCAAACGCACACACAAACACACACACTTCCTGTTTTAAATCAGCCCAACTGCAGCTGGGGCCAGCCCCGGCTCTGTGTGGGTTACACGTCTCCGTACGTTATTATGTTACATTCTGCAGCCACAGCAGAGGAGTCGCAGGGATTGGAAGCTGCCTTTCACTCTGCCAGAAAGCAGCGGTCTCGTCCACCGCCTGGTTTTCCAAAAATATGGGTTGCCAGGGAGATGGAGGAGCCGCAGGCAGAGCGGGGAGGGCTAAATGACACAGTTGGTTTCCAGTTTTTGTGAGCTGATTACTGGATCCTTTTCTTTCCTACTGCCTAAGTTACTTAATGGCAGAGTCAAACCAACTGAACCTCTGAAACTTCTGCTACTCAACTGACAGAAGAGTCAGTTTGAAAGACTGGTAAGAATTTGGCCACAATGAGAAAAGTAAGTGATGATAAAAAACATACATTATTCTTTTATGTTTTATCATAAAAGTCTTGCTCTCCAGCCCAATAAATTACCACAAATGTTAACTCCATAATTAAGATATACAAAAAACAATAATCCTTATTGCAAATGAACAGAATAAAAATTTTTTTTTTATTGTTCTAGATTTCATTGTAATGTGTTCAGTTTTAATTTTTGTTCCCCCCTTGGTCTTGTTTAGCTATAATAAAAGCATACATAGCCTGCACAAAGGTCTCTGCAAATATATGGGCTAAGGGAACATTTGGGAAGAATGTGCAGCAAACATTTACTGTATGTAAATTTTGCAGTTACTTTTGATCGGCATTACCCAAAGACTGCCTAAGATTGGCTAAAAGATAATTAGTTGTAACTGTCAGCCAAAGTTACCTAAATATTAGCAAACAGTAAGGTCTGAAACAACATCCCTCAGATGCTGGTGAAGATTCTCTGTCTACCAGGTCACAGTCATTCCGAAGAAGTTAAAAAAAACAATCCACTGGACTTTGTTTCCAAGTTTGAAGACATTTCGCTTCCCATCCAGGAAGCTTTTTCATTCAAAATTTCAGAATTAATGTTGAGTTCAAAACTTTATGTAGTACCCCAAAAAGTTGTTTTGGCTTTGAAAACATGTAAATTGAACCAGAAGAACGGGTCTACCTTTAGGAATGAGGAGTCTTTGTGTCTTTTGTTAGCCTGCAATAGGCTACCTGATATTGATATATGGCTCTGAAATGGGGGTTGTTAGGGGCAATTGCTGGCCTGGCTGCACAGGCGAGTGGTTTTCGCCCCCTGCATATGAGGGTAGAGGTTGAGATGATAACGGGAAGGAATCAACTCAAACTGAAACCTGAAGTCCACCCCCTCTTTTTAAGATTGGTTTTTCTTTCTTAACATAAATGGCTTCATTCACTCCCCTTTCAAACCAAAATGTGAACATTCTGCTCCTCAAAAGCATCCTTCAGACATTGGGCAAAGGTTCCATGGTTTGAAAAAAACATTAAATTATTCTTTTATACTGCTACCTGTATTCGCACAATAAGAATCATTCTCATTTGCTGTTTACAAAAGCAAAAGTTTTTGATTTCAGAAAGTCATGGTCTGGAAATTAGATTAAAAAAGCAGGCATTCCCTATTATATACTACAGCAGTTTACTGTTTTATTTACAGTTGACATGCTACAGCTACTGAGGATTCTATGGCTGCAGATAGTAAGCAAGCTAACTAAGCAAACAACCCAGCCACTCTATGCAGAGCAAAAAAGGTTATATTACTCTTTGCAAAAAAGAGGATTTTCTTAAGTATCTTTATTAAAATGAGATGTATCACCTATAACAACTGGATACTATTTTTGAATCATTGATCTGTTTCATTAAAACATTTTGGCAATCCCTTGAATCCTTAAAAATCTCATAAACTCTTATAATGCTACCATTTACTATATTTTATGTGTTCTCTTTATTATTTTGATCAGATTTAAAGAGACTGTAGAACCTACATCCCTACAGTCCAAAATGATATTGTGTGTATAACATTTTATTACACTTAAAAAGCAACTATATCTATGGTAAAAATAGAATTAACAGTTTTTTGTTTTCCATGACATTTCTCTTCAAGCATCTCTCCACTGCCTTTATCCCAAAGAAAAGTAGCTTATGTGGTGTCAAAGAGAGAAGCTTTACCTCCAGGCCGGTATTGCGTGTCACTTTTGGCGGCTCATCGTTCACTGGTATGATAGAAACTGAGATTGTGACATTGTGACTCCGGCGATTATTCTCATAAGAGGAGGCAGAGAGTGTAAAACTGTCCTCTGTCGTCTCACTGCTGTCGTGCATGTAGAAGATTTTTCCCATTTTTACCTGCGGGAGACAAAAAGCATCCAGATGTCACTTACTTCTGAATCTAAAATGAATTTGATTCCCTTTGAAACAAAGAGTCATTTTAGCTTTCAGGCTTAGGCAAAGAGGAAATCTGTTGCGACTGAAAGGTGTTAATACAAACAAAGGAATATCTCATTTGCACAATTATTCAGACCTTTTCCTGTCGCATTTAATTCCTTAAACCACAATAAAGCTTAAGATTAACAAAAATTTTCATTGGGCTGTTTAAGCACTTTTTCAGACTGATTAAAACTGGATAGGAAAAGCCAATCTATAGTTGTAAATCCATGATTATACTGCCATAATACCAGCGTATCTTCACAAAAATATGCCATACATCATATAGATTAATTTCATTCACTGTAATGAATCAAAAATGCTATTAAATCTTACACCTAAAGGATACCATTATACAATTGGGTTTAAAGATGCTTGCTGTTACAGTGGGATGTGTTCATTCTAATAGAAAGTTGTGTGTAAAAGAAAAGTGAGGTAGAGCAAGGTGCATTATGAACCAAAGCCCGAAGATGAATTTGAGGAGAAAGGGGAGGTTGACAAGGTGTGCACTGCAGCTGGATTCAGAGCTTCAGCAGACCAGGACACGGACTAGAACTGTCACATTCCCCGTGTTAAGCCACTCCTTAACCAGAGACAATGTCTAAAGTGTCTTATGGGGATAAAAGTAGGACAGTTGCCCAAAAACTGAGCTCTTGTAGTCTGGAAGAGGGGTGGAGAGACAGAATGAGGTCCAGTTTCTACAGTCATGTTTAATGAACAACCTCCTTTTCTGGTGTCCGTCTGCTGTGTTTTATCAAGTTTATGTATTTATTTGTTGTATTATTCAGAATATTTGATAAAGAGCAAAAGGTTTGCATATTTTGAAAGCCTTTAAAAACAATTTATTCACCACTATATCTCTATATCTCCTTTACGCAGTATTGATGATCCAAGGGGAATTCTTAGATAGAAAAAGGAAAGTTATTCCATTTGAAAGAAGTAAAATGCAAATTACAACAATGAAAAAAGTAATAAAAGCATCTGAAATGTCTCAGTCTGCACGATTTGTTCCGTCTCAGAGTCTTCCGTAATCTGTTTCCCCAATCAGAATGATTTTACAGTATCAGGGTTATTTCTCCCATATGGGCAAAGAACTACAGTCAGATCAGACAGTTCTCTAATCATCTGCATTATTAGTTAGATTGAGGAAACACTTATTACCCTGAATGTGAAAAACACTGTTCTTTGTGGCCCTAGAGGAGCTATTTCCCAGAACACACGTATAACACAATGTCTGTATTGCAAACTGAAACACATGGATGCTTACCAGACAGGGGAAATACATACTGTGGACCTGTGTAGTGAAAAGCTGCAGTCTTGGAGCAAGATTGGAAATTAACATGAATTAATTGTAACGATAGGATTCAGTTGCATTAACTTTGATTTTGTAAAAGATGCTGCAGCACGTTTTTTAAATAGATGATTTACAACATGAGATTTTTTTTTCACTGCAGGAAAAAAAAAAGATTTCTTTAAGATTTTTTTTGGTCTTAGATAATCCTACTTCAAAAGAGATGAATGTAATTTAGTTGAATGATCAAGCCCCAAACGCAAAAAAATCAAACAAATAAAAACCAGACCTCACCGCCGTGGAAATTGATGAGGTAAACTCAGCTAAATCTAAACAGAAAAGAATGCCTCTGATTATTTCATAGGCTTTTACCCTGATCTGTACATACATATATATATATATATATATATATATATATATATATATATATATATATATATATATATATAAAAAGCATGCATATCAACATCCTCTGGAGATTTTCTGACAGTTCTGGCAACACTTAGAACTTTCTCTGAACAAGTACCAGTAGGCCCCCGGGAAAGTTAGGGGATCTTTACGGGGCCAGAAGAGCCAAATGGATCCCATATGACTGGTATCTAGACTAACAAACTTCACCATCTTTTCATCTAAGGAAAAGTCAGTCAAACAGTAAGTCTGTTATCTGGGAAAATGAATAAGTGGGTGGACATTAAACACCTTCCTGATCTAAATAAAGATTTACATTTGATATTTATCTTGAGCTGAATGATTTATTACGTTTTGTATTTTGTTGTTCCAAAAAGCTGCATTCTGTGTTGTGTCTGTTTTTTTGAACAACGATGAAGCTGAAAGCCATAAATAACATTATACTCTGAAAATAACAGCATACTTGAATATGTTGTTTTTTGGTTCACTTGCAAGTGTTACATTTTTTAGTTTGCATTAAGGTGTGGTGGAGGATTTTCTTTTTCCAGGTGGATCATCTAAATTAGTGATCCTCCTAATTGTCAATCATTCAGGTGATATTTTTACGTAAGGCCGTCCTAGGCGCTCGCTATGGAAGATAAGGTAATTGATTGGGCTCATGCATGCTCTCACATGCCCAGTGGGCAAAAGATGTCAATTAAACATCAATTTGACATCAAACACCGATATCAAATTGTTATCAAAATTTGGTCAAAAAACGTAAATCAAATTGACATCAGTCCTTTGACATCAATTTGATGTATGGGATATTGATGTTATTTTGACATTGTTTTTAAGTCAAACATTTGAAAATAAAAACATTTAAAAATATGCACAGACGGAAAGATTCTGCAACATTTTGTATTGCAAACAGACTTGGCTTCATTTGTGAAAGCCCTTTGGGGGGGGCCTCCAATTCCCATTGTCATTGTGACACAGCACACACAAGTGAACACTGCACACCATGAAATTGCAAGGGGGGCAAGGGGGCAGCCCTCAATG